CCCTTACACCCACCCGTCAACAACCCACCCTCCACCCACGCCCACTGCCCTTGCCCACAATTTTGACACCCTTAGCCTCCGTGACCCCACTTGGTACATGGACACGGGAGCGTCACATCATATAGCCTCTGACACAGGTACACTTTCTCATGTTCGTTCTCATTCTTTAAATTCATCTTCATACATCACTGTTGGTAATGGTTCTAAAGTCCGCACTACGGCTACTGGTAATTATCACTTCCCCACTTCCCCCTCCTTGTCCCTAAATAATATCCTGGTTTCCCCCCATATTATCCATAACCTTATCTCTGTTAGACAATTCACCCGCGACAATAATTGTACCGTTGAATTTGACCCTACTGGTTTTTCTGTGAAGGATATGCAGACAGGGTCCGTGATTCATCGGTCCAATGATGCCGGTCCGCTCTACCCCATGTGCCCATCCGCAACCCAGGCCCAAGCCCATGCTGTCTCCGCTGATCCAGAGCTCTGGCACCGGCGTTTGGGCCACCCTAGCCATGCCGTCCTTCGTGGAGTTCCCAGTTTATCTCAGTGTCTTAATAAACAATTTCAACATTCTTTGTGTCATGCATGTCAGTTGGGAAAGCATGTTCGCCTCCCTTTTATGTCATCGAGTCGTATTTCTGTTTTTCCATTTCAATTACTTCATACTGATTTGTGGCAATCCCCATTACCCAGTGTTACAGGCTTTAAGCATTATATGTTACTATTGGATGATTTCTCTCATTATCTATGGATTTTTCCCTTGCAACATAAATCTGATGTGTATTCTCACCTTAAGACTTTTATTGCTTATGTGAAAAATCAATTCAACACCACAATTAAAGCTGTACAGTGCGACAATGGCACCGAATATCGAAACACCCCCCTCAAAATAATTTTCGAAAATCTTGGCATCACCTTCCGTTTTTCTTGCCCCCACACTAGTCAACAAAATGGTCGTGCGGAACGCACCATTCGCACTCTCAACAACACTGTCCGCTCTCTCCTCTTCCAAGCTAACCTTCCTCCTCAATTTTGGGTCGAGGCCCTGTCCATGGCCGCACACCTTTTCAACATACTACCCACCACTACTCTTAACTTCCGCACACCTCATGAAGTTTTCTATGGTCACCCCCCACCTATTCCCACCTCCGTGTGTTCGGCTGCCTCTGCTACCCAAATATCTCCGCCACTGCTCCTCACAAACTAGCCCCACGCTCTGCTCGATGCGTCTTCCTCGGGTATCCGACTAACCAACGTGGTTATCGGTGCCTTGATCTCCAAACTCATAAGGTCATTGTTTCTCGGCATGTCGTCTTTGATGAACATACTTACCCCTACAGTCACTCATCCACTCCCGATGAACTGGCTTTCCTCGACTCCACGAAGGACGACCCCAACCCTTACCACCTCTAACACATGGCCCAACCCCTACCCCC